TGCTACAGAATGCCTGATAATCATGTCTAGTTTTTATTAAGCTCAATCCATTCTGTCTAATGTTCAGACATCTTAGATTTCTCTGATCCGAACTCACACAGCAACTCGCTCCCATTCTCTTAGGTGTAAAAAGAACAGTAATAATTATTTTGTATAAAGAGAACTAAACATGTTTCCTCCAGAATTCTGTAAGGTTTTTTATGCTCCCCACTCCAACATAGTGCCTCATGGCAATTTAAATTATGCCCCCCCCCTTACTAGTTATCACCAAGGCAGGGCTTATGCCCATCTTTTTCACTGCTTGATCCACTGTGAGTATACTCCAAGTCCAAATTTTACGTGAGTCAGTATATTCAGCTCTGTAAACTGCAAGGAACACATTTTTTAACTTCAAAGAGTGATAATCTTCCAGGAAACAAGCTCCAAATTACCCCACTGATCAAATTATTAGTGGAAATTCCAACTTGGAGTGAAGACATAAGAAAATCTTATGAAAGGAAAAAAGGATTTGGTAAGAACATAAACAGAAGTAGCTGTGGTAGTTACAACTGTAGGACTTAATGGTATTTAGCCAAACCAAGTCAGGGATCAAGAAGCCTACACAGGTAGGTGCAAAACAGATTTACTTATGTATAAAATAAATGAATTGAATCAAATCCCTAATAGGTGATCACTTCTAATGTCTAAAAATTTATTATAGATCAGAAACCAAAATGGTAAAGGTGATTTCTAATTTGGCTTATAGTATAATTGCTAGCTAAGATGCCACAAGAATGAACCTCTGCTATTTCTAAAGTATAGCTTCCTCAAGGAAATCTAGAAAAGCATAAACTGAAGTCAGAACAAGCAGAATTTCTACAACTGTTCGATGGTCTCTGTGTAAATTCTTAATTGATATCACACCCTTTCATACTTCTAGTCTCAGCTTTTTGTGGTAATTAGATTTTTGTATATACTCCAACCAATGATAAGAAAGCAAGTATAGGAAGTATTTCCAAGTTCCTTCCAAAGTTAAAGTTAAGATCCTTGGGCTCTGGTTATTTTAGGACAGGACTTTTACTTAAAGTTCTACATTAATGTAAATTTTACTTACCTTTAACAAGGCCCTCTCACCTGCCTAGCTGACACATCCCTAGAGCTTATAGTGGATATTCAAATTTGTAGAAACAATTTACAATTTTTACTCAGCTAAAGGTAGTAAAATACAGGAGGGTGGTAAGGACAAAGTCTTGAAACTGCCTTAAGGGTGCTATAATAAAGCTCTTATCCTACCAGATCTGACTTATATAAACTAATTATTTCAACTTGTGGATTCAAATTACACTTGCTATGAGTTACACATGAGCTAAAGTTTTACTTTAGCTGTGTAGATTGCTAGGAACAAGCAGAATTCAAGATTGTTTTAATCTTTGGAGGATTTTAATGTTACCAGTATGACTTCTAAAACATGAATTAACTAGATGAGCTCCAAAAAAAAAAAACTGTCAGATGTGTGGAAGCTGCAGTCATTTAACATGTGATTTATTATATCACTGGAATCCTTGAAAGCTGTTTTTGAGTAAAAAGGTAAAATTCTGGTATGTGGAAAGTTAGTTCCATGTCAGGAATGCTTCAAATTTTCCAAACTGCAAAATATTCCAATAAATTAATATAAAACAGGCTATAATTCAAGACTTACAATCTTGGGCGGTTTATGTAGTGATTGCTTCATATTAACTTTATGATCCCATTAATTTCTGGAAGGACTCTGATCCTAAACTCCGAATTTAGGACTGTAGTAACAATTATTCTGGCTTCCTATTTCTCAGCATTCAATCAAGATAACTAACTACGCCAACATTTAAAAACTCTTCACTCAAGCCTTTTCAAATATAGTTGTTAGCTTGAACATCAGAAAGTAGGTTCTTGTGGTACTTTGTCAAGTAAGTCCAATTCAGGATGCTTGGCATAAGATTCATTCCCTTAGCAATTCTCATATGCTCATCACCCCTATTCACTGCAGTACCTAACTCCCAGGGATGTTCAAATCACCAACCTGGGAAAGCAACAGTCTAGGACAGACTAATATACACCAGGCTAAAAACCCAACCACAAGAACATAACTTTTAGGTCCACTCCCTTTTTAACTTCAGAATAGCAGCAAAATGTAGTGCTTTCTAATCCTCATTTAGGAAACTAAGTCTTTCAGAGATGATACTTTAACTTCCCAGTATTCCTGGTGTAGTTCCTTCAAACACTGTATAACTGACTGGTACAATGGCTAGTCTATGTGAACACCAGAATATGGTGATATAATTGACATGTCACAGCTGAAGCTGGGTCATAAAATGATTACAGTTCACTCTGGATCACTTGCTCTGGGGTCAGTCAGTTGCCAGCATTCAGATATCTGTGATACCCACATAACAAGAGTCTCTCCAACAGACATCCAGTGAGTCATTTTTGTAGACCCTCCATACGGGTCAAGCCTTTAAAATGATGCAGCTCTGGCTAACAGTTTCACTGCAATCTGATGAGACTCAAGCCAGAACTACTAAACCCAGTTGCTCCTAGACTCCTGACTCAGGAATTATAAATAGCAGTAATGTTTTAAGCTGCTAAATTAAATTGGGGATGATGTGCTACAGAGTGGTAACATAGTGATCAGAGTGATACACTGAGCATAGAGCATCCAGTTTCTTGAATAAACAAAATTTTAATTGCAATAATTTGAACTAAGATATTAAGCACTGAGTTGATTGTTAAAATTTTAAGTGTTTGACATTTAGGAACAACTGAAAAACAAATTCCCAGATACTCCCTCCAAACTTATTAACAAAAAGAACTTTGGGAAGTACATTATCTATAGTTAGTGCACACTTCTAATTAGATCACTGCAGCATCAGGTGATGCTTTTAACAATCATGACAGTCCTATCCACTTTTCCCCCTTTTCATTGAGACTGCATTGTAATATAGGGACAGTATTTCTAATCAGTTTCAAAAGGTCTGAATTAGGTGGCTTTGGCCTATTTAGTTTTAAGAATGATTTTAAAGCTATGTGAAGGTAAAGGAAACAGGATAAACAAGAGTAAATAATGATTATATATAGCTGATCTCAAAATCCAACACAATACAGGGTTTTTCTTTGACATTTACCAGACATCACAGATTACTACCAGAACATTACGTAAGTTTATTTCAGATGTAACAGCAATGTTAAAATCAACAAGATTTAATTCTTAACTGCACCAAGTAAACTTAGCCATTTTTAAGTATTTTTAAAGTTATTCCCTCCAAAAAACGAGGGAGCTTTTCTTTTCCACCCGACACACCATGGTTTCCCAATAGTTGTTTTTGGAGGACTTTAAGTTGGTGATCAAACTGCTTTTAGGAAGATTTCAGAACTTCTTTCCTCAAATGAAAACTAATCTGGACAAACTATGTATTGCATAGATTTCTCTGCAGATTATTTTCCTTAGAACCTAAATGCAGTTACTAAAGAGTATAATTTTTACCTACTGCCCCATGGTACAAAGCTTATGTTCTGAAAAATAAAATGGATGTAACCTGTTACCTTCCACTGTCTTACCGTAATGAAACTGTCTTACCTTATTATTTCTATCACATATCAAAATAATCAACTTAACATGGGACATTATTTCCGTCTTAACTGACTCATAGACATACGAACTTGTACCCAGCTTCTATCTCTTCTACATCCTCCTCTTCCATTAGTGGATGGAATTATTTAATATAAGTTTGATGCAGGACAATTAACCCTTTACAAACACTTATAATTTAGGTTAATTCACTGACTAGTGTGTAAAAAGAAACTATAATGATAGGGAGCCTACACAATCCAAAATTTATATTTTTCCCTCCTTAAATAACATGTACTTAATTGTCATGAGGCAGCTATTCGGTTTTCAATAACCACATTTAGGGATACATTCATTGGACTGATTAGATAGTCCAGGTGAAATGGTTATAGAAATAGAGGCAGTGTCATCTCAGAAAACTCACTTATATATCAAAATCTATTTTTGATATCTGAAAGTTTACAAAAAGGATGAATTCTTCAAACTAATTATGCCTTCTGTAACTCATGTACCCTTCTCTTGGCAAGAGCATGCTGAAGCTAATCATGAAGGAAAAGGTGCTGAATGCTAAACCCTTCTTCCAAGCTTAGATTTGAACTGCTCAAGCAACTGATACTTAAAAAAACCAACATGGCCTTTCTGTACTATCTTAAAGATTAGAACCCTATAAACTCATCTATCAAATATCTTTCCTGTATTATTCTTGGCACTCAATTAAGATCGTAGAAGTCTATTGTACTTTCACATTCTCAAATAAGAACATTAATATTAAATAAAATGTGCATAAAAATTGTGTAAAATAATAATTTTGTCCTTTAACACACACTTGGAGAGATGCGTTTTTGATACCAGAATTTTACTTGAGGATAAATATTATGGAACAATCTCCCTTTTAAAGTCAAGTGACAGAAAAGCCTTGTGCAGCATTGTTTTAATATCTAAAGAGGATGTTTCTTAGGCCACCAGTATTGGTAATCTAAAATACTTTAAATATTGGAGATGGGACTATGAAGGAAAACACAAAAATTTCAAATGTCTCTTATCTTACAAAAAGTTACCAACCTGTCAAAGCCATCCCTTGTACACCAGAAAATGATCTGGCATAAACCAGTCCTGTTAGTAGAGATCATAGTGACATTTATGTTACCAACACTTCTAGACTTCTACTTTTCCAAGAAGCAATATGTTCAATAATTCCCCCTCCCCCAAATCCTTAAACTCAGTATCATAGGCACAGAATGTAAGCAAATCTGGGATGTTCTCCAACAGATAAGCAATAGCACAGCTATGCTAGTCTCAAAATACTGTCTAGACATCCTTTCCTATATAATCAAATGCTTAGTGGCAACATCTTTAACAGTCACATTTGCTGACATTAAATGCATTTATTGTGCCACAAGTCTATCTAACTTCCTTTCAGGTTTTTGTTTTTTTTTTTTTTTTTTTTTTAAATATGTTCGAGAGACAACTTCTGCTTCAGGTCTATTTAGGGGTGTTGACCTATAAGGACACTAACTATTGTGGGTTTACTGAAAAATAAGGATAAAGGAAATATAAAGTAAATCACAACAAACTCTTTAGGTCAGTTAAAGGCCATTTCTCTAGCTGGGATATTAAAAAAAAATTAATCTCACCAGCCCACACCCTAAAGGTTAATGCCACCAATAACAATTTACAGCAGGAAAAATAAACCTGCTAATAACCAGCCCACTTCATTAGCAAAAAGCAATTTAACTCAAATACTGAGACCAAAGAATAACACTATCTACCCAAACTTATCCCACCCACCCTCAACCACCAGCAAGGAAGAGAAGAAATGATTGTTTAAAACAAAACAAAATAAGCATAATATTTCTTACAAGGATAACAATGGTCCACTTCCTGAGATAGTACTCAGAAGGACAAAAGGTGGCATGAAGACAATATTTAGGGATTAGCATTATCCCACAAAACAGTCTTTAAAAACCCAAAGTACCACAAACACACTAAACTTTGTCTATGAGTTAGAGAACAAGATATTGCTGCTGCTTTTTTCTTTAATACACAATATTTTGTAGGTTCTGCCCTTCAATGTGAAAGCAGGATGTCAAAAAAACAACAACAAAAAACCAAATATTTGAAATTGATACCCATATTTTGGGGACCACGTATCTTAAGTGTGAAAACAAATCTATACCTTCTCCTTCCTTCCTACTATCAAACCACCTCACACAAAAGAAAACTACAACAATTCAAACATGATTAATTTTAAAAGTTCTTCAAAGTACTGAAATTTTTAGAAGAGAAAAAGAAAATAGGAAAAACAAAACAGGAGGGGGGAAAAGCTGAAAAAGAAAAAGGGGTAATCAATGGGCCTCTCTTTTATTTGGCGACAAGCAAGTGCAAGAAAGTTCATTTATAATTTGTTTAGTTGTCTGTTTTTTGCACATCTGCATTCTGGCCAGAAGGGACTTTGAGATTTTTCTGCAGCACATGAGCATCTGCGGGCTCTATCCTCTTATAGTAGTTCTTCTTTGTCTCAATAATCTCAAAGCCAAACTTCCTGTAGAAGTCAATTGCCGACTCATTGCTGATCTGGACATGCCTAAGATATATAAGAGGGTATCAAAAAACAAAACATTTCGTAAGATTTTACATGTTCTGCAAAGAAAGCTTCAAATTTATTAGAGCTAGAATATTGCAGATACTTGTTAGTCTCTTTACAATTACTAGTAAATACCTACATTGATTAGACAAAACATTAACAAACATAGGTAGTCCTCTGCCGACAAATGTATACTTTTTCAAATTGTTTATTTTTATTTATTTATGCATATGAGAACTGTGGTATAGGCCAGAAATGAGAGAGGAATTCACCAGTGACAGATTGGGGAGCAAAACAGGCCAATCTACTGAAATATACTAAGTGATGAACCTCTGAGCTACCAGAGAGGCCCAAATTTACACTTTTAATGTAAGTATTACATTTGCAAAGCAAATGGCTGAGATTAGGAGACTCAGGAATAGTGTTTACTCTTACAATGAACAGATAATAAAATACTTTAGCATAATATTTTTGAATGCAAAATACAAAATTCCTGAAATTTAAAATGAGTCAAGTAACCCAAGGGATGATTCAAAAACTATGTCAATACACACATAAGTCAATAAAAAAGTTAGAAACCAGGGTCTCATCCCTAAATACATCCTCCTCCTGATTAATAAAATATGCCTTTTTGAAATGATTAAGAGCATTCTCATTTACTACTCAAAACAGCATTAAATAATTTTTCTCATTGCCAACTGAAAAGTGAAAATAATTGTAATATCCATAGTGTAAAGCAATCCATAGTTGTGATCTTAACCTTGGCTTTTAATCTGAGGTCTCTTAAGATTCAAGTATAAAGTTAACTATGTGATTTATAATTGTGATTATTAAGCTCTATTAAAATAAGCATATCATCCAGAGCGTTGAACAAGAACAGTATGCAAACAGCACAACGTAAGACAAGTAATGTTAATGGTATTAACTCCTAAATTTTGAAGACTGGAGTTTTTGATCTTGTGTACATCAATGTGACTTTACAGCACCCAGTCCAAAGCGGTAATGAAAAACAGTAACATGTTGTATCAGATTATCTATGTAAAATTAACACAAAACTTTGTAACTCTGTAACTATTATTAACACCGTATCTCCAAATAAATAATGAAGTGACCACATTTGAACATTTTAGTAAGATGTCTACTGCCAAACTCTTAAATTCATCTAAATGTAAATAGCATTTTACTTACAGATAAATGTTGTCAAAAGTGCCATCTTTTTCACAGATGTTTAAGACATGATTTAACATTTTAGTTCCTATCAAATAAGAGAAAAAAAATCTATAAATCAATCTTTATATATCTAACTACAATCTGAACATTTACTGAGTTACTAATAAAACTTAGGAAATAATCAATAGACAGTCTCATTTTCTGCATTTTTTTTCTTTCTGTACTGCCTATAAGTATTTTAAAATGTTAACAGAAAAGCAATCTTTATGTTCAATCCCTTTACAGGTAGCAGGAAAATAGAAAAAGAGGAAGGATTAATAAATCTACAGTTTCCACTAGAATTATGCCAGTAAGCACTAGTTATTTTTTACTTTATTTCATATAATTCAATGACTATTCCCCAGTAGTGTAAGAAACAGTACTCAGAAACAGTAAAATATACCTGTTTTTTTTTTTTTTTTAAATCCTTTAAAGAACCACACAGAACTGGGGTACAGGCCAGAGGTGCAGGGTGGTGAGAAGATTCACTAGAGACAGAGTGGGGAGCAGAATAGGCAGATGGGCGAAGCAGACTGCTGAGGGGAGCAGCGGGCCAGATAGGAGAGTTCTGCCTCGCCATGTGGATCACCTCCCAGCCAGGGATCGAATTTGCACTGAAGTGGCTGCTTGCTTTAACCTGCTGTGCCACCAGGGAGGGCCCTATCTATGTTTTTTAAAAAAATAAAATATCCTAATAATCTTACCTATTCCTAGTCTTCGGTATGGTGCCAGACATCCTAGTGTCATGATGTAAAGTCTCTTCTGATTCTGTGAATGATCCACCCTACAGCACACCGCACCTACTGCAATATCATTGAAATAGGCTACGGTGGAAAACAAAGATAAAAAGTTCAACAAACATAATAAAGTTCTATATATATCAATCTTTTCCTCCATTTCATTAAGTACTGAATTGCTGTTACTGGCATTATGTTTATTAGTTACTCACTCTCAACAACCTCAAAATTTTATACCTCAGGAAATTCAAGTCTCAAGTAAAGGTAAATACATGAAAGCACAAGCATATGCTATACTGTACAAAAATATATTTAACATCTTTCAAAGTCAAATATTTTAATATCTTGATTCCTCTGAATGTGACAAACCCCTCCCCTACCATTTCTCACTTCTAAATAAAAGGCTCTATTAAAAACTAGGGGTCAAGAACATGAATTAAATAACTTAGAGGAGGAGGAAAAATATTATACCAAGTTTTGCTAGTTCGCCAACCTCCAGCACATCCTTGTAGAACTTGTCATTGTAGCTGACTGGAAAGATGACCTGGTTTAATCTCTTCAACTGTTTAATATTGTGTGGTGTCACGTCTCCCAGCTCGATCCGGCTACTGGAACAAACCAAAATGTACTCAATAAAATATAATTAGCTTTTATTTGTTAAGAACATATCAAAAAGAGTACCAAGTATTTTTACGTGATTGACTCAGTTCTTTCATAGTGACTGTATTTTTTATGAAGATTATATTTACAAGCAAAAGTTTGCCAGTCATTTGATTCAAATCAACTCACAGCTTTCATACAATTATACACATAATTATCAATATGCATGTGTGTATATATATATACACATGTATACATATGTATAAACACATGTGTATACATGTACACACACGTATTTGGGGACAAATATAGTAAAGAAAAATTACAAGAAGGCCAGCATAACAAATATTCTATATAAATGATCATTTTCCCTTGCAGCTTACAATTCAGAAAAATATAAACATATCGAATGGCTAATGGGATTCTGATACACACTACTGGTGAGAATGTCAAGTCAGATACATCTCTGGAAGACAATCTACTACCATATATTGAGAAGCCTAAAAAAGTACAACTCATTTGTCCAAGTAATCGTCCTTTAGGAATTTATTCTAAGAAAATCATCCAAACTGCAAAAATTATGCGCTCGTATCAGTTATACCACTCATGAGTTATACCAAGGGGTAATCAAAATCTATTTCTAAACCCTACCCTACACCTTTAGAAGCTGAATCTCCAAAAATGGAACAAGGGCAAACATATTTTGGGGAAAAAAAGTTTTTTAAAAAAGATTTATTTATGCATACAAGAACTGGGGTGTAGGCAGGAGGTATGAGGCACAGGGGTGAGAGGATTCACCTGAGAAAGAATGGGGAGCAAAACAGTCAGATCTACTGAAATATACTACTGAAGGGAAAAGTAGGTGGGACAGGAGAGGTCTGCCAAGCTACATGGGTCATGTCCCCCCCACCAGTTAAGGAACTCATGCTGTAAATGGCTGTGGGTAGCTTCCCAGTGCTGACATTTAATCCCTTGGCCACCAGGGAGGCCCTAATCTTTTAAAAGTAAATGCCAATGTTAGCATCCGTAAAAAAATGAAGTATAATTTTAACAAGTGGTTCCATGGGAAAGGGATCAGAGCTACAAACATTTCAGAATCAGTATCTAAGTCATTTGCCTCGAGATCTGTCAACAAAAGAAATTTTTCTTACTACCATAGCTACAGGTTAATCCAATGTTGTAAGACATACTTGGAGAGCATCTACAAAATTTCTTCTTCCAATCTTCCAATTAACAAAATCACTAGCTAGAGTTGCTTAAAACCAGAATAGAGGGTGATAAAAAAAACATTAAAAAAACAAACCAAATCAAAATTAGTTCAAAAGTAAACAGCAATCACATTCCAACTAAGCAGCTAGAAAATTATTTAAATCCTATTTAGACAATGCTAGGTCTAGATCACAATAGCATTAATAGCGGGGTAGTGAAAAAAATACACCCTAGTTAATAGTTTGCATTATATGCAAAGGTTATGAAAACTGAGGTAGAAATAACTAAACAACGTTAGCCATCACATTTTTTTTTTAAAGATTTATTTATGCGTACAGAACTGGGGTACAGGCCAGAGGTGCAGGGGCGGCGAGAGACTTCACCAGAGACAGAGTGGGGAACAGGCAGATCGACGAAGTACACTGCTGAGGGGAGCAGCGGGCGGGTTAGGAGAGGTCTGCTGCGCCATGCGGTCACCTCCAGGGCAGGCAGGGATCGAACTCATGCGGAAGTGGCTTAAGCTTCTCAGTGCTGTGCTTTAACCCGCTGTGCCACCAGGGAGGGCCAGCCATCACATTTTTATAATGGCAAAAGGAAAAAAAAACCTAAAAGTGTCCATCAAAGAGAACCGTGTTTTTAAAAAGCACCATACATATTATCTTTTTAGCACAAGAAAATGTACTATATTTTGGGAGGCGGGAGGGCACAAATTAACTCTCTCTCTCTCTAAAATATAGTAATATAAGCCAATTATATTAAGATAATTAACATAGTAACATGTTAATTATATGTTAAACACATATAGAAAAAGGTTTAAAGGCATGTAAAGAATGTGTAGTCAAAATTGTAGATAATTTTAAAACAATATTCTCTGAAAGGTTAAAATTTTGATAATCTAAAAAAACAGAAGGTATTATGATTCTTAAAATACATACACACAAACCTGATCAGATATCATTATGCTCATTTAGAACTTTAGCTTTTCTACCTCAATTATTTCATTTTTATGTTACCATTTTTAAAATCTAATGTGAATGTCCTTTGCTTATGTTGTATGTCTTTAAAGCTGAGTAGTTTCTTAGTAGTCATAGCATGTAAGTAAAAATACAGATTTGCTATTTACTCTCAATTCCTAGTGACCAATAAATGTTATCTCCTAGGTATTTGGAAATAATAATGTATTATCTCCATGAGTCATGTATTCCTTAACTAGGTTACATTTCATTTATCCTATTATTCTCCTCTTCATTAAAGCACACTACTCTGGTTTCTCTCTTTAAACAATGAAGTAAATGACAATTATCCCCCAATTTTTTCTGATTAAAATCTACTAGATGCCAAAAAACAAACAAACAAAAAAAAAACTACTGGATGCACTTACTAACCCTCTATCTACAGTTCATGTTTTTTTTTCCTTTTTCTTTTTCTATTTTTTAATAAGCAGATACTGTTATCCTGGGAAACACAAGAGATCAATATCTTACCTGCATGGTTTATACATATATATATTTATTTATTCACATATATATTTATTTAAATATATATTTATATATATTATATGTGTGTGTGTAAATGTGTGTATGTGTATATATATATACACATGTATACATATGTAT